ATCCATATGCACATTTAAACAAATGGAGGTTATTTAGTTACTCCAATGGCCATTAGAGGGAATGCCCACCTGCCACGTCAAGGCAAACCTCTCAGGTGGGTCCTACACTGACCTTTCACCTTGCTTCCTTGAGCTTCTGGCAAAGATATCTCGAATGAGACAGAGAGGGGTATTTTTTTATATACACTCCTACTTATTAACTTATACTTATTAACCCTTAATAGGGAACACATGGGCTGGGTGGCAGCATTGTAACCAGGGATGTGTGTGCCGCGAGGCAAACAAGGCATTTGATGCCGGGAGCGGAGTATGACATTTAATTCCGGCTCCTAGCATTATTGCGGGTCGCGCGAGGGATAACAAAAGAAAAGAACTAGAATGGAGTGGCCACCCCGTCCAAGACAGGCGGGTGGATGTCCACTCCACCAAAGGATATCTCTTACAAATAAATTTTTTTATTAATGGTATAACCTTTATTTAGCCGAATAAACATATACAAAAATAGTAATAAGAAATGTGATAACAGTGAAAATATAGTGAAAACCAAGTGATAATACACCTTTAAAATCTGGGTAGAGTAAATCTGGATTACCACGTGAATACCAGGAGTAGGATTATATAGGTAGATACCAGGAATGGATTTATATAAGTGAGAGAGAGCTCTCAATACAGTATATAGATAAATAAATGCCTGGATAAACCCCTCCAAAGAATGGTATTTAAATAGTACGTGGTTGAAATTATACACCGGCTGTATATGGGTGAGCCCATCTACACAATACAGAGACTAGAGTACATATCACATGTCAGGATATGATATAAATTGTATCAAATATGTAACTAGTAGAAACAGGGTGTAAATAAGACTCAATGGATACACCCATGTAGTGGATATTAGGTATCCTAAGTTTCAAATAACCATTAGGTGGATTGCTCGTGATCTAGTCACGCTATGGATGGAATGTAAATGATACATATTCACACATCCTGCCTGCACTCGAGTATACTCTAGAGGGGGTATAGTACCAAGAAAATTGGAGTAGCAGTCAGAGACAGATAAGGATCAATTAGAGAGGTCGCGCGAGGGAGCAGAGAGCTCAGGAGAAAGTGCTCACCCAAGAAACAACCGCACGCCTGCCCCGAGGGATCCTAAAGGTGGCCAGCTCTTGGGCTCTCATAAAACGAGGCAAACAAAGTATTTGCCTGGGCATTTGGGGGCGGTTTTTTCTGCTACCCCCTGGAAATTGCTGCCCAATGCAAATGCCTTGTTTGCCTCGCGGCAGACACATCCCTGGTTACAATGCTGCCGCCCATCCCATGTGTTCCCTATTAAGGCTTAATAAGTATGTAGGGGTGTATATAAAAAATATCCCTCTCTGTCTCATTCGAGATATCTTTGCCAGAAGCTCAAGGAAGCAAGGTGAAAGGTCAGTGTAGGACCCACCTGAGAGGTATGCCTTGACGTGGTAGGCGGGCATTCCCTCCAATGGCCATTGGAGTAACTAAATGACCTCCATTTGTTTAAATGTGCATAGGGATTTAGGAGAGAGCGCAGGTAACTTTTTCTTTGGTTTTTACTGTATATATTGGGACTGATGTGTACTGTGGTCGTTGCTGCCACCCAGGAGTGATGGGAGTGAGCGCAGGACTTGATTTTTTGTAAATACTTGTATTGTCTATACCACGTTGATACATTGCATCCTATATTATCTCTTAAACTATGTATCTCACAAACAATGTCAAACTGACCGAACGGTAATCCCCAAATTATGTCTGTAATCCTTTTTGAAAGAAATTCCCCTTACAGTATTCCCCTTGTGGTTCAAATAGCTTTTTTATAACTCCAAGTTCTATTTTATTTATTTTTATTTGACCTTTTTACTGTGTGATATTCTTATAAAATGTGTATATTTCCAATTTACGACACCTAATGACAGAAAACGTTCTATTTTGCTCTTCGGTGCAGCTGGTACAAGTTATTTTCACATATATCAAAACGAAACCTTCCTGCATAAGAATAGCATTTAATCTTTGCATCTGTTAAACGACTTTATTTAAAAAAAAAAAAAAGATTTAAATGTATTCTATAAGGTGTGTAATATTGAACTCTATGAATCTGGAGTTTGTTTAAAACTAAAAACAACTGATGATCTGCCAATGGCAGCAACAGATATTGGAATAATAAATTATATATAATACATTTAAAAAGACATATTTAAAAATGTCAAACATATAGAGTTTTTATGAAAATATTTATTATAAACTGCATCTGATATAAAAATAATATTGACAACTCAGTGAGGATAAAATACAGAAATGTATATTTATAATAATAACATAAAACATAAGACAAATATGAATTCCAATAGTAAAAGATTTAGCTTATATTTTAGCAACCGAATGCAATGCCTTGCAAAAATACTCAGATCTTGGACCAATTGAATTAGGAATGAAGGGCAGAGGGTTGATACATAACATAGAGATATACTACTCAAGAACCTACTTCAGTCTTCAAAAAAAATTTAAGAGGGAGTTAATTCATTATTTCACTGATATAAATGATTTGCAAGTACTAGCCTAAGTTCATTCTGGAATGGCTAGAGTAAGGAAGAGGAGAAAGTCCTGAACGCAATCCCAATGATTATTTGGAATGTTCGTTGAAAATTGTAGTCCACAAGCAGCATTCAGTCAGCATGGAGCACAAATATCAAGAACGTTGGACCAAACTCCAAAACTGGTGCATGCTTACCTTTCAAAAAGGATTATTCCAAGCATTAAGACCACTACAGCCCGGTGAAGTGATTATGAAGCTAGGAGTACCCTGGCCTGGTCCCCAGTAATGGTGCATACTGTTTAGTAATGGTTTGCCCTCTTACCTGGGTCCCCGTTGGGCTCCTCTCCTGCTTGGTGACGCATTTCCAGCTTCTTCAGAGCTGAAGAAACTGCAAGCTGATCCAGTCACCAGTCATTGGTGGAAAGTGTCTGCTGACCAGTCTCAGCCAATGAATGGCACAGTGTGTATGAATACTGCAAAGAATTGACATTAGCCAGACCAGTGCTCTCATTCGGGGTTGGCTACTAATGATCAAAAGACGCTACCAAAGGAAGAGTTACACCTCTGGTAGCAAAAGGGTTACACTCGGTATCTGCAAAGTTTCATATTGAAACATTGCACATACAGACTACAGACACCATAATCATGTCAAATCAATTAAAGATATTATTACAGAAACTCTACTAAGGCTGTACTAAATATTAATATGGAGGCTGGATATCTATACAGTCTTTACAAAGGCTGATATTTTGTTTTTCTTAATCAATTTTCCATATATATGAATATTTTTGCAAGGCACTGTAGAATCCAATAATGAGGAAGTATGATTTCCACACTAAAATACTTTAGATAACATAATTGTATAGACTATTATTTCTATTGTTTAGTCCCCAAGGTATTAATGCGTTTGAGTATTTGATAAATGTACCTCTGATAACATAACCAAGAAGTGATACTACTGTGAGTATATATAAGTACATACCTTCTAACTGCAGTTTGATTATGTAGGGTTAATGTAATTAGATATATTTAAACTATTTTTGCCTTTCAAAAACAAATTAATATTATATTCAATGTGCCACCCACATAGTTTCCATTGTTTGGACCATGTGAACTCTGTCCTAGCTAGGAAGCCATCCCACCTGCCACAAAATGTAGCGGAGCTCCCATTCTCTGACTGAGTACCTCCTCTAGATCAACTTCCTCTCTCCTACAAGGGAAACATTCAAACATCCTACCCCCGGGACCCCTGCACATCTTCTGGAACTCATTGAGATGGATCAAGCTAGCATCTGTGCTGTGTCCTCACCTGATAAGGAGTTCCTGAGGATAGTTTCAGATAGATTGGCTATCTTTGAAGTCAATCCATCATCAGAGGTGATACAAAAGACTTGGGAGGATGTAAGCTACAGAGATGGACCCAAAAGAGTGCTGGATATGCCTGGCCAGCCAGGCCTGAACAGGGGCAGAACTAGCAAAATAAATGAGGTTAATGCCTTTACAACAAAGGTATAACCAGGAGAGAGATCTATGGAGTCCCTGCATCTAAAGGCCTCATCCCAACTCAAAGGATATTAAGTGGCTGGATTGCTAGATATAATATTTCTGGAAGAGTGTTATGGTGCCTTACATTTCAAAGCCTGACATGAATACACCAGCAAACCTGAGGTCTACTTTCAAGGCTTTGTCTGTGGGATTCAAGACAATATGATGAAAGTATGGGGGGAGAAGGGGTTTGTCAAGTATTTTACTGCCAGACCTGACAGGTGACGAGAATGTCCAGGTCTGGGAAATAACAAGAGATATCAGACATACACAAACAGACAGTCCCATAATTTCCAACAGCAAACCCAGTCACACGTGATCCCAGACCATCTTGTAGTAACTCTGTGGAAAATGGTGGCCAACAGCTACTAAAAAAGTTGCCAGAGAAAAGTACAGAGTTAATATGGTCCTGGCGACGGTGAATGCCGTCACACAATCAAATACTAGTTTCTATATTTCTTTATTTGGGAAGTACTGCAACGTTAAAAAAAAAAGACTAAATAAAGCATTTCTCAGAAATGCTTATACACTGGCTAATGACTTACAAGTAAGCTACTTGAGGGCATTCGAGTGGTGAGTTTGAATGCTAGATAGAAACAATCTTCATCGTGATCATCTCCAACCTTGATTTGTCAAACTCGAGTCCTTGCTAGGCACTCAACTCCAGAACTCCACTCAGGGAAAAACTTTGGTGAACTTATTTTGTAGTACATTTTACAGACTTTACCAACTTTATTAAGCCTTAAAAGGTTTTGATTGAAATGATATAGGATCCATGATTGCACTGGAGAGGAGAATTCTTGAAAATGTATAACCGGAAGCTAGTCATAGGAAAACGTACTTATCTCCCGAGGTGCACCAATAATAAGTGATTAGCTTAATGATGACTTATCTTGTCAAAACACGTCTAATATAAACAGATGATTCTCTTTGCATCAATTTTTTAGTCATGAAATTCCAGAGGGAGACTACCTTTGGCACTCCAGATGTTGTGAACTACATGACCCCTGACAATTTGCCAGCATTATGAATGTAAAAGCATCATGGGAGATGGAGTCCACATCACCTGGAATGCCAACGGTTGACTAACCCTGTTCTAGACCCTTGATGATGCATGATACCTACCAATGCAGCACACTGCAAGTGAGATATAAAAATTAAATGGATATTAACGCAATGGTTTCAAGCTCACGCTCACACAGTATCAATACCTGTAATCTCAAGGGGTAACTGAGGAACATGGGGACTTATTCCAAATTGGGAAATTTGCTACAAAAAAAGCCAATATAGAAGGTAAGATTCAGAATTATAAACACTCTAATTTGGCCACGTTTAGCATTTTTTTTTTAAAGGGACACTATAGTCACCGGAACAACTTTAGCTTAATGAAGCAGTTTTGGTGTATAGAACATGCCCCTGCAGCCTCACTGCTCAATCCTCTGCCATTTAGGAGTTAAATCCCTTTGTTTATGAACCCTAGTCACACCTCCCTGCATGTGATTTGCACAGCCTTCCATAAACACTTCCTGTAAAGAGAGCCCTATTTAGGCTTTCTTTATTGCAAGTTCTGTTTAATTAAGATTTTCTTATCCCCACCTATGTTAATAGCTTGCTAGACCCTGCAAGAGCCCCCTGTATGTGATTTAAAGTTCAATTTAGAGATTGAGATACAATTATTTAAGGTAAATTACATCTGTTTGAAAGTGAAACCAGTTTTCTTTTCATGCAGGCTCTGTCAATCATAGCCAGGGGAGGTGTGGCTAGGGCTGCATAAACAGAAACAAAGTGATTTAACTCCTAAATGACAGTGAATTGAGCAGTGAAATTGCAGGGGATTGATCTATACACTAAAACTGCTTCATTTAGCTAAAGTAATTTAGGTGACTATAGTGTTCCTTTAAATTCACTTGTTGATTTACCGTTGGTAAAACATTTAAGTTAATATAAAACACAATTGTAAGTTAATGACACACTATAAACTTTGAATACCCATACATTTTGCCAGTCTGATCAAGATATCTAAAACAATTCATACAAGTTTTGAATTTAATTCTTGTTAAACAATAATATAACCTTTATTACTACTGAATTTTAGAATCCAAGATGTTTGTACTTCTCTATTTAATCTTGTCAACAAATCCAGTAAAAATACTGGTTTCACAAAATAATTTTTATTTGTATCCATTCCAATAGCCTGCAGGACCGCCATCAGGGGGTACAATTAGGTTCCTGTTAAGTGGACCGGTACAGCTCTGTATTTATGTACATAGGCTGTTTATATATGTATAAATGTGTGTTCCTGACATTTTGTATGTGTTTCTGGCAGTGTGTATCTATGTTTATTCTGGAATAGTGTATGTGTATGACCGTTTGTGTGTATAGCTTTGTGGCAAGGAGTGTGTATTTGTGTGGGTCCTGGGCCAATTTCTTGTAAGGGTCATCAAGACTTCTGATGGCAGCTCTGACAGCCTGTATAGTGAATACAAATATTGACATGGATTGTGTTGGACAAGTAAATAAAGCATTGAGGAAACGTGTAGTTGATTTAGGGAGGTATCTTCATTTTTTCGGGGGGGGAATTAGAAAAAATTCTAGCCGTACAGATAAACATAAAATGAACTGGCTTCTGTTGTTACACATAAAGTTCAGAAATATATGAGTTAAGTCCTTTTGGGTTAACACATTCAGTGCCTATGTTTTGATTATTACTGTCAACCCATTTTCTTCTGATTTTCTTAAAAAATGAATTCCTTGTCCATTGCCTGTGCATCATTTATATAGCTCAACAGTGTGGGTAACCCATCCGGTAGATGCAAATGGTTTGAAAGATTTGACAATGACAAATGGCACATTGTTCACAGCAGGGAGGTGCCGGGTGTTTACAGTTGGATAGAAGAGGCACACAATTTGGAGGAGGTGGTGGTCGTGGTGGCTTCTTTTTTGGAGGGACTTTCCTCTGTGGAAATCAATATCACACATAGAGACACACATTTAGAGGTTGAAACAAACGTCTATTCAGCATCCTACCCTTTAATTGTTCATTGCATTCTAGATAAGTTCCCAAAGAAAATAAAATGTACACACTGGATTGCCTACCTTACAACGTACATGGGGCTAAACTCACTTTGTTTGATAGTTTGTTGAAAGTTCTAGCAAACCCTACAGTTCATCACAGATGTTATAACCAATATGAATCCAACCTCCCATGGGGTGTTATCCATGAGTTGAGGACTTAAACATCCATGTTTATTGAGTATATGAGTTGGTAATGGTTGGATTCTCACCCAGGATATATCAGCTAATGTTAGCTGCAGCTTGGGGTATGGAAAATGAATGTCCTAATTGTGTCTAAACCAAGCAGTTTAATACTATGTCAACATATTTGTCATTCCAACTTCAACCTCATGTTTAATCCTAAAATTCAATACTCTTTCTAGAAATCACTGTTAATATCCTTCAATTTCAGACAATGACCATTACAGCTATGGACCCTTTTTCCTTTTCTGTTCCTTCATACAGGTCTGCCTAAACATTATGGGCTTAACTAGAATAAAACATAGAGCTGTCATGTTTCTAGAGGGCACGTCAAGCAAATATTGTCTCAACATGAGGTCTGTGGACAACCATTGGCCAACAAGAACTTTGAATGTGGCCAAATGTGCTGATGTTAGAAAAATAGAATGATGAGTGTTTGTGGTGAGTGTAGAGACATGAAAAAAACAAACAAAAAAAAACAAACAAAACAAAAAAAAACCAAAAAAACTTAGAACTAAGTGTTTCACCTTATGGTCTGACATGTTTATTTTTGTGATAAATGAAAATGACACAGAGTAGAGAAGTGTTTTTAATAAGTGTCTATAGCTGTTCCCATGGAAAACTGTTTGACAAATTCTGCCATAATGAATGAATAGATCGATAGCAAAGCTAGTACAGAAGGTTCCATAGGGAGCAAAAGGATATATATTCAGAATGTTAAGGGTTGGAAAAGTGCAGTTTTGGGATTTTGGCCAGATATTACATAAATAATAAGTGGCAGATTTGTAGCTAAATTGATTTTATAGCTTGTAGTTGGTATTACTAGCAGCTGTTATGACATTATTGATGTTAGGAGTTAAAGGGACACCCCCTACCCATATAAAAACAAACAACAACTATCTTATATAGATTTATATGAAAATATGCATGTGTTTATTTATGAATTTATTTATTGGCTGTATATCTAAAAACAGCTTGAAAAAGCAGCAGTTCTTTTATCTGAAGCCTTTGCAAGCCCTCCCCTTCTAACTCTGCACAGACATTCGGTGGCTGTCCAATTACAGACTTCCCAATGCAGCTCAATGAGAAGTCTTTGTAAGGCAGGTGCTCTGGGCAATTCCCTGCCTCTTGAGTTTTGCTCCACTGAGTTAACCAAACCAGGAAGTAACAGGACCGGTTGTCTGATTGACAGCCAGGGGGGTGTAACAAGGTTATTATATAAAAATGCCAATTTCTACTGAAAAAAAAACAGGACACACTCTTCAGCAAGCTAAAGTGCATTAGATGTTTGGAGTGGTTCTTTTAAGGATTCTTGTGCAAACAGAAATGCCTTACCTTTCCCATTTTATTCTTTTCTGCTTCCACTCTGCTCACCCTCCGAGATGCCTTTGTTAAATCTGCCAGATGAGAAGAGATACAGCAATGAACAGTCATTAGAATAACTACCACCCCTTAGCTCGTGCTGACAAATCAATATGGCTACTTACTGACCCACTATAGAGATGGGCGGCAGCAACTCAGGAAAACGAATGACACTTTCACTGTTGGTGCTCTCTCTTTTTTCCTCTAGAAGGATGAGTGACTGCACCAGGCCCAAGAGACAGGAAACAATGAAGAAAAATGACATCCATTTCATGTCTGTCGAGACAGAGAGCTTGTTGCACAACATGGTACCCAAACTACAAACACATTTTTACGTAACTCAGTAATTTTGGCTAGTGGAGCAAATCGTGATTTGTTTTTACTGATATCTACATAAAAACAATAATAATATTAATATATTCTAAAAAACACAATATTTGTTACTTTTTACCTCTTAATGTCAAGTCTGTCAGGGAAAGACACAAAGATTTTTTTGTGTAAGGGCAAATATGTTGTTCTCGTCTTCATGTGAGCACCTGACAATTCTCACAGTTCAATGAATTAGCTTCAAATAACACAACGTAGAGTCACCTCTTTTATGTCTTATGTGAGTTAAAGGCAAACCTTTGATGAAGAGATCTTGCAGAATTAGTATTTAAAAAAATAATCCATGAAGAGAAATGAAATAATGGATAAAATGTAAGGTCTTTCACAGAATTTGCAAAAATCGATGTAATAAGATATTTGGTGTAGTGTGCGCTTTTTTTTACCCATAATGGAGAAATCTTGTGGTGGAAACATTGTCAGCAGGGCCTGCTGAGACGGAGGGTAGGTACCACGCTGCTTTCAGTGCCTTCAGTCCCCCCACATGAATATGTAAGGGACGAGAGAGGGCTGCTTGCTGTCTGTGAATATTTAGATATGTGATTTTGGATAGGTTTGGAGTTATATGGTCACAGAGGCAGGTAAAGTGAGGGGTGGAATGGCTTGTTGTTAGGGATTGAATTAATTATGTGTTTTTAAAGTTGGTATGTGATTTAAAAGATGGTAGGTTTCGAGCTGGCCTGTGGCTCAGAACCTGGGGGTGTAGGGGTATCTCGGTATATCCCTAAATTGGATCATTCAGGCAAGTTGGTATGGTGGGTTTCGAGCTGGCCTGTGGCTTAGAATTTGGAGATGTAGGGTTATCTCAGTATTTTTGCACTTAATAAAGTGCCATGATGTTATGTATGTTATATTGTTATGGTGTTATGTATATACTGTGTCACAGGGCTTGTTTGACAATGACATTACGTATAAAAATTTATATTATATTATATTAAAAGCTGTGGACAGAATTTTACCCAACATATTGGTGTCAGTGCATTATGTAAGGGAGGTTTTAGTCACCCAAGGGTATGACTATGTGACTGTCATGCATTAGGTAGGGTGTGTACATGTGTGTTAGGCAGTTTGTGTGTGTGTGTGTGTGTGTGTGTGTATGTACAGCAGTGGTGTATTCTGGTTTTGTGCTGCCCTAGGCATTACAAAACTCAGGCACCCCCCCCCCTCCAAATTTCTCTTCCTGACAGACACAAGCCCTCACTGATGCATGCACTGACATACACTCACTTACAGATACACAGTCATTGTCACGCATACTGTTTAACCAACACACACTCTCACTGAAACATACACATTCACAGGCATACACACTCACATTCACCGACAGACACACATATACACTGACAGACACACACTCTGTGGCGGAACCAACCTCGCCACTATGCAGTGGAGAAGCCTGGTTGCCCGCCTGCTGCCTTTAGACTATGGCCCTATGTTGAAACACTTGATTTTCCCCTGCGAAGACACAAAAGCCAGGTCATTCGGTGCTTGCCCTGTTTGAGCGGTGATACCCCAGATAGCTATGCCATGGAGCCCATTCGTATAATGAAAGACTATGGGAAAGACTTTGGCTCCATGGCAATTGAACTGTATGTGTGTGCTTTGAGCGCCATTCAGTAATATTGTGCACTCAGATCTGAGCTATCTGGGGATATGTTGAATGTACCTGTTTTGTGCAATGGCTGCACAGTTATATGTTTTTATGTGTTTTATTGTCTTTTGCTGCCATGTGTTCAATGGAGTTTTGCCTCTGTCCTTGGAGATAATTGGATTACTTCCCAATTATCTCCAGGATAGAAGACTCTGTGGAACTAGTTTTGGGCAGAAAAGCCATGCTTCATTTGGTCACAAAGGACTTCGATCTATCTTTTGAACCAATGGACCAATTTGTATGATTTTGACGTATGTTTGTATTTGGAGTATGCTGATTCTATTTTATGTGAATGTGATACAGTTTTTCCACATTATTCATAACTTGAAAAGTATGCATTTCTCTGGCTGTGATAATTACATTACCCATTGTGTAAGGTAATTGTATCACAGGCAGAGTGGAGGATTTTGTGTGGGAGTGTCTGAGTGTATTGTACATGTTTATTGGTTGTTTCACAAAACCCTGTGGGTGGTACTAATGTGTAAGAATGTGTACATAAGAACAATAAAACAACAGCTCTGAGAGATTCTGCTTAACCCTCAAACGAAGTGTCGTCTCGTTATTGGGGGAATTGGATTGTATGCTGACTGCCAGGAGTGTAAACCTTTCATATGGTTTTTCCTGTTCAGCTGTTTCCTGTATTCGTGAGTTTCCTGTTCGGGAGTTGGAGAATTCATGTAATTTGCAGTTCGGGAGATTGGTGATTGCAGTAGCTGTCTGTGTATCTGAAAGGGGAATATCGCCTAAATGGTTTTTAACCTCTTGTGGGCAAAACGGTCTGTTACACATTCATTGACAAGACACACATGCATACTCACACTCACTCAGTGTCACACACACACACACTCACTGACAGATACACATACACACTTAGTGTCAGACACACACATTCACTGACAGAGACACACTCTCAGTGACAGATACACATACATACACACTCACTGACAAACACACATACACACTCACTGACAAACACACACACTCACTGACAGATACACATACACACTCAGTGTCAGACACACACATTCACTGACAGAGACACACTCTCAGTGACAGACACACATACATACACACTCACTGACAAACACACATACACACTCACTGACAAACACACATAAACACTCACTGACAAACACACATACACACTCACACTAACCGACACACAAACACACACTTACATTTTGGATTTTTCCCTGTGGTCTAGTGGGGCTGCTGCTGTCTCGGCTGGCAGGCAGTTGGGGAGACAGCAGCAGAGTTCAGACCGGCGGAGAGGGAGCTCTGATTCTTCTGCTCCGGCATCACTGCGGCACGCGCCTACATCAGGAGATGCCAGCCTAAGGTAAGGTCACTGGTCGGGATGTAAAGGATCCCGGTTCAATCCCAGCCAGGCCCAAGAACACAAGTCCAAGTGTGGCATGCCAGCAGCTGTGATGAGGATCATGACATAGTGTCTGCTATGCCAATAAGATGCGGAGTATGTAGTGAGGGGATCACTCTGCACTGCTTGCAGAGCTTCCGCGCACACCATGTACTGATCCCAGGAGGTGGAATGTGATGTCACACCAGCATCCTGATGGAGAAACAGGGAGCTGTGAATTTAGTGCACAACGAGATCCCAGTTATTATAGTGCATAATGAATTCCTACAAATGAGTGGTGCGATGGTGTCAAACTTACTCCAAATGGAAACCTAAAAAGCGTAATAAGAAACTTCTCCTGATGTAATTTGCATTTGTTTCTGAAACGCTGAAATTTGTTGTTGCTGCTGCAACAATGGAGTGGGGTGCATAGACCGGTGCGGTAATGGAGGAAAGGTAGATAAAAGGTTACCTACCATTTTACATTACACGGGGTGGGGGGCAGTAATTAACATAGGTAGCAGGACACTACAGCGTTAGTGCTATAGTGTTACTTTAAAGGACCACTATAATGCCAGGAAAACATACTCGTTTTCCTGGCATTATAGTGCCCTGAGGGTGCCCCCACCCTCAGGGTCCCCCTCCCGCCGGGCTCTGGAAAGGAGAAAGGGGTTAAAACGTACCTTTTTCCAGCGCTGGGCGGGGAGCTCTCCTCCTCCGATCCTCCTCTTCTCCTCCCATGCGGCTGAATGCGCACGCGCGGCAAGAGCTGCGCGCGCATTCAGCCGGTCACATAGGAAAGCATTCATAATGCTTTCCTATGGACGCTGGCGTGCTCTCACTGTGATTTTCAATGAGACAGCCGCTAGAGGGAATGGGCGAAGGCTTAACCCATTGATAAACATAGCAGTTTCTCTGAAACTGCTATGTTTATAAAAAAATGGGTTAACCCTAGCTGGACCTGGCACCCAGACCACTTCATTAAGCTGAAGTGATCTGGGTGCCTATAGTGGTCCTTTAAAATGTAACCCAATAGATACCTAAAACCTAAACCTAGACATTTCTCTAGCATTTATTTAATACATGAATCCATCAAACACTGCCTTTGCTAAAAATAAATAAATACATGAGATATATGATTCTATTCAGATAATCCATCTGAGACTAATTTGATATTGAAATTGATGAGATGTCAGTCAGGTGAGTATGTGAGGAACTCTTCCTTTTAAAACAAATTAACATTGGCTGTCACCATCAGAGTCTGCTGTTAAAGCGCCGCATTGCTGACAGGGCCCCCTGGAAATTCATTTCCATCAGGTAGCTCTAACAGCATGGGCCACCCGATGGGCCCCTTAATGTGCAGCCCCGGCGATTATACTGTGCTGGCCGGGCCGCAACACACTGGAGTGACCCCTTGCGACCGGGGTAGTTCCGCCACTAGTTACATGTATAATCTTTTTTTTTTTCTACATAATTGTAATATTCATTTACCATTGTATTTGTGTAATATTTTATACATCGATACGTATCTGTGTATTTAAACGTGATGGAGTAGGGACATTATTTTCAATGCTGATCGAGGAAACTAAGAGCTTACAAATTACTGTTTAGTATCACTTTACCTACACCAGGCAGCCATATGACAGATATGATTTCATTGAGCTCCACCGGGTGAACGGAACAGGCTTTGGAATGCAAGGTCTTATCAGATTAAGTTAAAATAAAAAATTAACATTGAATAGAAGAGATGAGAAACATCTGTTTCCCGCAATCTGATCTTTCTAGTAAAACCTCATTTGTAGATTATCTGAGTTTTACTTCTATTTAGAAGATCCCATTAATTGAGCTGCATCAACATCACTTGCTTGATCAACCTCGTTTTTTTCAGTTTATGGGATTTGACAAAATATGACGTGGAAGCTTATATAACGTGGAGCAGATAAATAGCCTGGAGAACACTGGTGGATTAACGAAAAGATTTGTGATAACAAAATGCCTTGGAATATCTGACACAATTGTGCATTTCTTGATGAAGATCAAATGGTATGTATCAACACTCCACAATTTCTTATGAGATATTCTTTAGTAAATCACAAAATTGCATGTATTTTTTTGTATCTTATTCCCACTTTTAACTAGTTGTTTCAATCTATTTATTAAAGACAGGCATGAAACGAAAGGAACTTAACAATCGTTTGTTTTGTTTTTGTGTTGTTGCTTGTTTGGGCCATGCCCCGTTCCCCCACTATTCCCATAAGTCATGTCATATGCATTTTGTTAGAATGAAATGTTTGTGTTGTTTAGCTATTGTACAGCGCTGCCAAATATGTTGGCGTTATATAAATAATTTAAATTGTAAAACAATATTTTTTTTTCTAAAACATGCAAAGCCTTGTATTATGGTCAGCAATCCTATTTAGGTTAAAAATGCATGTGGCATAAAAAATAATTTTATATATATATATATAAAATGAATAAAGAGAGCACTCAATGGATTTTTAAAGTTAAAGTCGTGTTATATTAAGCGATCAACATTTCTTGATTAAGACCTCTGGGTCGAAACGTTGATTACTTAATATAACACGACTTTAACTTTGAGAATCCATTGAGTGCTCTCTTTATTCATTTCTACTATATTGTACACCGTGCAGCACCGTGGTCCATGGAATTATTGCTACATTCAAGGTAGAGTGCCAGATTCCCCGATTTACTTTGTATATATATGTAATAATATATTAAAATACTGAACTACCTGCAGTAACAAAAATTCAGAAAACTGTTCATCTACTTCTGCACAAACTATAAACTTTAACCTATTCCCTAGGCTAAGGCCAAAAGAGGCACAAGTAAAGACTGACTAGGGATAATAGGAGTTACATAACAGCAGGAAGCCACATTGACAAGCCAATACAACCACTGAGATCTGTTATATGTACAAATGGGAAAATATGTTTCCTCTCATGTACAGAAAACTCCCAAAGAAACTTTGAAATAATTTGCCCCTTTCTTTGAAAATAATCATTCTCAATGCATTGACTTTTGACAAATGGTTTAATATGTTAACTTTATCCTCTGTGTTTTTAATCTAACAAATGTCAGAGTTTTGTTCTACTGTTCAACTGTTCATCTTTAAACTTTAATCTGTTATTAAGCTATGCATTTTCTCCACTTGTATGAAGAATTGCATTTAATTTATCTTTTCTGTTCTTGAGCGTTAGAAGAAAAGCAATTTAAGGACCTACAACACAGAGGTTAATTTCACAGCTGTCCTGGGGTTAAACTCAGATGTGCGAAAATAATCTTTTTCAAAGGAATCCGTAAAAAAATAGTTTTCGTTACATTGCTGGCAAAGTAAAAGTGTCAGGTAGGATTTAGCAATGGGCCATCCATTTTCGGAAGCATTACATTTGATTTATAACAATTATTAGAGTAATATAATAGTTATTGTAAAACGTGAACATGTGATTTTATAGAATGTATTTTAGATCACTTATGGTAAAAAGCCCAGAAAAATAATAATAGTTGTGAGAAACATTTTTGAGAATTTATACAAATGTCACACAAATATGATTTGGGTAAGTAATCCGATTTGATATTATTAGCTGGGTTACTTAAATAAATGAATCAAATATTATGTTCTAAGTAAGCGTATTCAAATATAAATAGGTTGAGACATAAACATCTAACAATGTAATGTCCTTGTATAAATCATTTCTATATTGTTTAAGAAAATCAACAGATTTATTTTAAAATAAACAATTCAAACATTTTTTAAACAGTTGAAAATTAACAAATAAAACAATAATGCACAGACGTATAAAATTCACTAGGTTGGTAAAGAAAGATAATTTTAGTAATCAAGTCTGGTCGGTATTAAGGTCAAATGGATAGTTTAACGGCATTAAAAGATTCCTAGGTAATTAAACATCTGCTAAATATCTGAAAAGAAAGTATATCAATTTGCATAATAGATATGTAAAATTATTGTAACATGAATATATTTATGTAAAAAAAGTTCATATTTAGTAAAACAAAACATTTCTAAGTGAACAAAACCATTTTATTTATTTAAATTTTTATATATTTTCTCAATTTAATTTGTTTTTGAAAGTTAAAAGAAAGTTTCAAACTTATAGGAAATCCTTTTTTAGGGTATTCTTTGTATGTGTTTAGTAATTACTAATTCATTTAAAAAAAAAAATCCTACATCCTTACATTCTGTGCATCATTGTTGGAGATATAATTACCTAATTGTCTAATTTTTATTAATGTAATTTGAGGTGGTCTGTTTTACCGAGTTACATTTGTGATTATTGCTATTTACCCTTTAATTAGCATCAAGTTGGGCACAAATTAGTGATTCGTCACACTGCTGATAATTTGTAAATTGCAAATATAAAAATCCTGTGAAAATAAAACATTTCCAAAAATGTCCCACATGGTTCAGAAAAATAAAAGGCATTACAATTTTTTTTTCATATACGGGATTATTCGCTAACGTGAAAATTCAAACTGAATTCAAATCAAATTTCAAATTGAAGACTAAAACCACAGAACTGTAGAAAGTCAGCTCTGCTTCCAGATTGGCTACTGTAGCCTTATATTTAAAATTCACGCTGAATTTTCACTTTCATAAACAGTCATGATAGTTTCTGCTCAATTTTCACATTTTAAATAATGTAATTTTTTTTTTATAACACAGATATGTATTATCTGTGTTGTATTGCTTAGTTTTGGTCTCTAATGCAAAGTTAAATATCAGTCAGTAGCTACAACAAGATAACTGATATTAAGTAACATCAGATGACACATCTTTAATACATATATATTGGGGAGGGATAAGAGACTATACTTCTCTCTTTAGTATAACAGACTTTATGACGTTATTAGTAGATTACATCTCTCAACTACAATATGCCATTAGGGCATGCTAGTCTGAGAGGGTAGGGGGAAAGGAAGGGGATTGGGTTTCAGAATTAAATTCATCCTTGAGCTTTCTTAGTGATCTGATTATTACATTTAGAGATATCATAGCTTTCTTAAAACAGAAGGTTGTAGAACTCAGGGGATTCTAGAATGTTTTCACAATTAAACAAACGTGGTCATTTTCACACCATGACCCTCGGAGGAGACTATCAAACATTTCATGAGGTATGTGTTGTTGGTTGTTGGTAGGTTGGCTCAAGGTATTTTTATTCTATAATCTCTTTATATAACAAGTTACATTTTTTACGGCGAGATAACAATTTATTCAAAATGGTTAAAATGATTTTAAAACTATGTTTTAGGGCAACAAACCACTCAACTCAGAGTTTTGCACTTGAGATTTGCCCTTAATGCTTCTCTGTGAGTGAGAAAAATGTTGCACATTTAAAAAGAAACAGCCACTTTCCAAGATTTTCAATACTATGTATATTTATCTGTATTTAACAAATATGTGTTTTTTTAGGTCTGAAAAATAATGTAAAATGTAGAAATCACTATTGTATTTAGCTCCATCCTGGAGTTGAAAGGAACACTGTGAGCACCATAACAACTTTGTTGGAATGTAGTTGTTATTATGCCAGGATGTCCCTGGCGCCTGCTTACCTTTAGGCATTAAACTGTTTACAAACAGTATAACCACAAAGTCCAGTATCCAGTGCCTGATTGCTCTGCCCCCTGTCCTTCCGCTGCTCAGAAGCTTGAAAAAGGAAGCTTTGGCCTGGGTGCTGCTATATGGCTGAATGTGTATGATTAAGGCTCTGCTGACCTGAAACGTTGCACTTTACACTTTTTATGAGGTGGTGTAACCATAAATAAACATACATTCCTGATCCTGGAATGTTCTTCTGTTTTGATATGGCTGAGGAGAATGTCAGCAGATGGTTAAAGCCAATCAGTGGCTCTCCATTAAACAAAACAGCTTGAGAAAAATATATACATTCTCAAGGCAATTTGTATATGGGGAAGTACTGATTGGCTTAAAGCATCAGCTAACACTCTCAGCCGGGCACTGGATTGGATACTTTGGGGTTTAGTCGTTTTTAACGGCGTAACGACTAAAGATAATCCTGAATTAGGGACCTCTTAGCACCATAACGACTTAATACCAATTAAGTTTTTTTGATGCCCGGAGTGTTCATTGGATGCTTCCATATTGACTTCCTGTTAATAATTGTTATAAGCTCCGGACCTTTCTGTCATGGCCAGGAGGAACCATACTAAGTGGAGGAGAACTTAGATACAAGGTTTCTTCCTGCAAACCTTGGTATTTTAGTGACCAGACAGATGAAATAAAAGGAGAATATAGGGCAACAAACTTTTGTGTAGATAAGCCTGTTCCTGCCTTGGTTGCTGCACACAAAACCTCAACAGGTCTGTCTGTGCTTGAAATCATTCCAGTCTTTTTGAGTGAATGTTCTCTGAGTGGTATAATCCAAGCTGTTATGGTCCAGATTTGCCTTGGGGCCTCATCATTTGCCTTCCTTGACCAAGCAGCCTGGTGATAACCCTATAGCTAGTGGTGATAACTTGATTCAGTTACACTGTACATGCAAAATGTGTGGATTTACTAAATGTTGTGATGCTAGAACATTACGTAGTAGCCCTGTATGTTGCTTATTTAATATGATGCTGTCCAGAGTAAAGTCACTCAGGCCCTCAGTTGTAGATGAAGGGCTTAAAATTATTTGCACAATGTGGTGCATTCTAGGGCTTGGGGATGGGAAGCCCCAGGGTGCTTGTGGTCTGCACCTCAAACTGCAAACCAAGAGTATAGTTCTCTAGGTACCACATCAAGGCTCCAATTCGTTACTGAGCGCTGGCCAGATGGAGTAATGGACATGGTCCAAATCACAATACACACACTACACACCACCTGCACGCACACACAAAATATACTCAACCTGTAGCACACACTCACACACATTACATACAACCTGCACAAACACAGACACATTACACACAGCCTGCACTCACAAACACTACAAGCAGTCACCACACACACTTTGAGAGGTGAACATAGGGAGAGACTCTGAGGGGCAGATGGTAACACATTCATGGTAATTCCCTAAACTCTGAATTTCCACAAATTAAAGGACCACTATAGTGCCAGGAAAACATACTCGTTTTCCTGGCACTATAGCCCCCCTCCCGCCGGGCTCAGGGGGGTTAAACTTACCTCTTTCTCCAGCGCCGGGCGGGGAGCTCTCCTCCTTCTCACCGCCTTCTCTCCTCTCCTGAGCCGCGCGCGCATTCAGCCAGTCCATAGGAAAGCATTCACAATGCTTTCCTATGGACGCTGGTGACTTCTCACTGTGAAAATCACAGTGAGAAGCACACAAACGCCTCTAGCGGCTGTCAATGAGACAGCCACTAGAGGCTGGATTAACCAATTTATAAACATAGCAGTTTCTCTGAAACTGCTATGTTTATAGAAAAAAGGGTTAAATCTAGCTGGACCAGGCACCCAGACCACTTCATTAAGCGGAAGTGGTCTGGGTGCCTATAGTGGTCCTTTAAGTCTGAATAGAAAAATTCCAGCAAAAGGTTGTGGAGTTTAGTGAATAACCCTTTCAATGTCCAGGTATCTAAGCAGGTGTCCCAGTCTGAAATTATGTTTCAAGTAGATTGCCATGACGTGCAAGTAGATTGGACTACTGGTTTAGTCCCCTGGACAACTAGACCTAACAATACAGTCTTCAATATGTTTAGTAAGTGTGTCTAAATGCATATCTGTGTGTCTGACTGTTTTTTATAAATATATTTAAAAATTCTTTAATTAAAATTTTTTGAAAAAAAGTGATAGTTTCTGATTCCATCGCCTCCTTTTTCAGCATTTACTTTGGTTAATAACACAGCAGGGGTATGTATAAAAAGTACTTACATTTCTCCATCAGTGCCATACATACGCATTCAAGCGACGTGTACACAGCACTGCAATAGTTAACTAATTTACATACGTTAATGGGCTTTGCCTGGCAAATAATGTATTTAAAAATATATAAACAATTACTTTTAGTTGGCTATTAAGTTGTGCTAAACTTGAAGATTTGACAGTGCTGCTTTAAAGGACCACTATAGGCACCCAGACCACTTCAGCTCAATGAAGTGGTCTGGGTGCCAGGTCCCTCTAGTTTTAACCCTGCAGCTGAAAACATAGCAGGTTCAGAGAAACCGCTATGTTTGACTGAGGGTTAATCCAGCCTCTAGTGGCTGTCTCCCTGACAGCCGCTAGAGGCGCTTCCGCGATTCTCACTGTGAAAATCACAGTGAGAAGATGCTGGACTTCTATAGGAAAGAATTGAGTAATGCTTTCCTATGGGCGGTTTGAATGCGCATGTGGCTCTGGATCTGACATCGGTAGGGGGTGAAGAGTTCCCCAGCACAGAGGGAGCCCGGCGCAGGAGAAAGGTAAGTGGCTGAAGGGGTTTTAACCCCTTCAGCCCAGCGGGAGAGGGGCCCTGAGGGTGGACCTAATGACCCTATAGTGCCAGGAAAACGAGAATGTTTTCATGGCACTATAGTGATCCTTTAATCTCTAAAACTGAGTATTTATTTTTAATAAACACATTATAATCAGAGAAATGTCTCTGATCAATGGTATATTGATTATTTTCTTGCGGTGTCTAGACAGTTACCCTAAGCATTTTTTCTAACGAAGATGTTAAATTTAATGATAAGGAAACAGCAATGTGCAATTACTTCTGCAGATACGTTTCCAGAATTTAATTTCATTATTACAAAGAAGTAACTTTCACTGTAGCTCTAACATAAGACATATTTCAAGGGTAATTTATCAAAAGTTCTGATATCCAATCCATACAGTTTGTATATTTACTAAATAGGTTAAAGAATGAATGGTTTCCATCTGCAAAATTTGAGCATCATATGTATCAAAGCAAAACGTCTCACTGGAAACAATAAGGTTATAACATTGATAACAACTATGCAAAAGTTAAAATATAAATAAAAGTACCAATTCCAATCTACAAAGTTATTCACTAAAGTGAGATTTGTAGTCAATTCAAGTAAATGTAAAATTTAAGGCCAAAGTAGCAAGCTGAAAACAGAATTTACTTTGTTGTTTTAGAATTTGGCTATTTTGGCCCAAATATTGAAATTGACTTTGAATTCACGGAAATTCTTGCTGGTATTAAATATTATAATTTTTTTTTAATGAAAACTTAATAAAGATTAAATATGGAAAAAAAAATAAAAAATAAAAAGAAGAGTGAAAAGAAAAAAAAGTGAAAAGAAAAAATAGATACAAAAGTTCAATGGCACAAATATGTAGTCCATAATCATCTTCACTATATTATGGCTACGTTGCACCTGACTATTATGTTTTATACATATAGTAGAATGCTCTAAAAATTATAATAACTGAATACAAAAAAAAAATGCAAACAAAAAATAAAGTGCATCAAAAACATGGACTACATAACTGTTTAACTTTTTTTCTTTCTACGCCATTGGACAAAGGTTCGGAAATTCTAAAATTTTGTCTCTGAATTTCCTTAATATAATATAATTTGTGAACAAAGAACTATTTTTTTTTTATGAGTACCACTGAATCTTTGTTAATCAGTTTCAAATTCTTTCTACTTGCTTTTGGTTTTCATTTTTTTCCGTTCATCTCTCTGTGACGATCTCTAACAAATAGAATTTATTTATTAAAGGTTGAATTTAGAAGTTCTTCTTAGGAAGAATTCTCCAACTAAGCTATAATAGCTTGACAATTTAAGAAGTTTGAGAATAAACAATATAGACTCGGTAAGCCGGTAAGGGATTGGAACCCTTAATCAAACCCTGTAAGGAAATATATGTTAAAAAAAGAGGAAAGTAGAATATGATGGAAGCGGTCTGTTAAAAGAAAAATACATCTATAGTTTTTCTGCCTTTGTTCTATACTTCATTTTAAGTTATTATTTTACGATGCAGTTCTCTTCAAATTACTTCTTTGCCTGTACATTCCAATAATATTGAATTTTGTGATAAATAGTTGTTTTAGGGGCTATTTTTTTTCAATAATCTTAGATAATTGTTTTGTAATGTAAAATAAGTCTTAATGTCTTTAAATAATCTGCTATATTGGGTAAATTTTAAAGGAAAGATTAAATTATTTTAGCCCCTTTAGGGAAAAAAAGTGCTCTAGAAAAAATACATTTATATTGCCTGCATGATTGAAAAACACTGGTGCAAATAAATCTTAATGTTTTCCTCCCTCATTCTTTTTTGAGAAATTTTCAGGAGTTTGTTTAATTTTGCTGCATTTATTGTATAGAAAATCTTGTAAATTAATATAAGATAAAATAAAAAAACACAAAACATTAAATATTAAAAAAATCTATTGTGAAAAATGCTATATTATAAATTATCTTAATTTAAAAAAAAAAAAATATATTATTATAAATATATATTTATATAAATGTTACTTTAATTGAGCAACAGTAGAAAATGTTGCATCATAATGTAAGCAAATGGACAAATAAAATACAATATTTTAATTGTTTTGAGAGATTATTCTTTTGATTTATTTACAAAATCTAGTACAACTAATTATATTTTTAACATAAAAACTTTTTTTTTAACATATACACATTAAAAATTATATTTTTCTATGCTATGAAGAAACAAATACATGTAAATAAGTTCAAACCCAAATTGCATAACAAAATTACCAAGCCCAAAAAAATAGATAAACTGTAGACATTTTCCAACCCAGCAATTTAGATCTAACATTTGCAACTGAGTTTGAAATCACTAATATTCACAGCCTAGTAAATAAACCCAAATTTGCTGTAAACTAAAATTCATGTTATTTACCTAGTTAAATTTCATGTTAAATATTTAGCTAATGCAATACACATCACATAAATAGGTGCATATAATATCATTTTGTTTGAAAAAAATACATATTTTTGTTGACATATTAATAATTAATATCTCTAATACATCCATTGAGTTGCATGTGTAGTTGCATAGTACGTTAAAACACATCCAAATGTTAGATGCTTCATTACCTGTTTTTCTTCTGTTTACAGTGTCGCGTTTGTCCCTGCTCGTGCCCGTTTTTGTTCTCAACACTGGACATATTTCTGTCTTATATAGAGCACTATCGGGCATTCAGCCACATATGAGATTCCTTAATAGGGAGTTACAGCCCCACAGAGAATAAATATTCAAAAATGTCTTTTATTTTTCCATGTTACGTTAAAATAGATGCATGTTATTTATCGAATAGTCCACTGTTTGTGTCTTTTATTACACTGTAATCTGTGCCTTATTTTATTGGCCCAAAATAGAATTCTGACATTAATTGGTACAGAACAGTTCCAGATACACAGACAATTTCTGACAAGGTAATCTGGTACAGAACAGTTCCAGATACACAGACAATTTCACCAGCAGTGACATGCAAGGATAAAATATTATACACACAATTGCAGGTTTCACATTAAAAGTAAAAATATCTGCCTATTGCGTAATCATTGCAAAGTTTTAACTGGAGACTCTAACTGCTATTCATAAAAATTCATTGATTCGGACATACTCATGTTGTTTAAATTTTTTACAAATATTCATCATTTTATTGATAGATTAACTTTTAGTTAAGTAATCCAGAACTTGCGTTTGGTCTTCTAAAAATTATACAGTTTTTTCTTTAAACTTTATATTTAATGAAATAAAGGGAAATCGTATTATTTAGACAAAATAGCAGAAACCCTTTTTGGTTTCAATTTTGCTACTTGGTTTCTTACTGACCATAGCTTGCTCTTTTTAAAAAATTTTTTTTATAGTTCTCACGTTTATAGCTTCATATTAAAAGTGTACGTCTTCTAATAACATATAATGAAAATTTGTGTTTTGCTATAAAAGCTGCCAACGAATAGAAGCCTGAAGAACAGTGTAGGGATACCAAGTCTATTCTGTAACGTTCAACTCAGCACGCAGAGTGTAAACCCACCAGGAGAAAATAGAGACAGTAAGAAGATGCCTAAACCAGTCTTTCGAATGGCCGTTATAAAGAATAAACTATAGGAACATCAAGAAAAGCCAAGGGTCGCACACACACACACACACATACTCACTGACAGACACACACACACACTCACTGACAGACACACACACACTGACAGACAGAGACACACACACACACTGACAGACACACACACACTCACTGACAGACACACAGACACACTTACAGATACACACACACACACACTCACTGACAGACACACACACATACTCACTGACAGACACACACACACACACACAGAGACACACACACTGACAGACACACATACAGTCAAACTGACACACACACATACTCACTGACAGACACACACACACATACTTGCTGACAGACAAACACACACACACACACTCACTGACAGACACACACACACAGACACACTGACAGACACACACACATACTCACTGACAGACACACACAGACACACACTGACAGACAGACAGACACACATACAGTCACACTGACACACACACACCCATACTAACTGACAGACACACACATACAGACACACACACACACACACACATACTTGCTGACAGACACACACAGACACACACACTGACAGACACACACACATACTTGCTGACAGACACACACACATACTCACTGACTGACTGACAGACAGACACACACTGACAGACACACACACATACTCGCTGACTGACTGACAGACAGACACACACTGACAGACACACACACACTTACACACTTACACACACATACTTTTCATTATTGTTTCTTACCTTATGGAGCCGATGGGGGCATCTCCCTGGGGTCCTTCCAGCTCCTCACTGCTCCCTCGCGCGGTTTAGTGATGCCCGGTGCCGGAATATGACATCATATTCCGGGCGCCTGGCTTCACTTCAGTCAGCGAGCGCGAGGGAGCAGTGAGAAGCTGGAAGGCTGAGCTCCCTCGTGGCCCTCCTCCCCCTCCTTGTTTTAGCATGAAATAATGGTGGGTCCTGTGATTACATTGTAGCACAAATTGGCAGAACAAGTTACACTTGTAGTCTTTAACGAGGGGCAAACGGGGCAGCTGCCCTGGGCCAGTTACTCCTGGGAAGCCCAAAGCAGCTGCCCCGTGACCCTAATTGGCCCACGGTGCTGGTATTGCGGCTGCACCGGGGCCTGCACACAAAGGGGGCCAACTGGGTGGCCCATAGACTTAGGGACACCTGGTGAGTATGTTTCAGCAGAGGTCCGGTCGGCGATGTGGCCCTTTAACAGCGCGACCGGGCCCCTTGCTTAACGGCTGCATGGGATGCTGAGCCAGGATCCAGTGAGGAGGGGGAGCAAGGAGAGCCAGACCCCCAACTCCCAACCACCCCAGCCAGCACACTGGACCCCAGGGAAGGTAGCCTCTTACAAAGGTAGGAAACTAAAGATTGTCTGTGTGTGTGTGTGTGTGTGTGTGTGTCAGTATGTTTGTGTGTGTGTCAGTATGTCTGTGTGTGTGCCAGTATGTTTGTCTGTGTGTGAGTATGTCTCTGTGTGTGTTTTTGTCAGTATGTCTGTGTGTGTGCCAGTATGTTTGTCTGTATGTCAGTATGTCTCTGTGTGTGCCAGTTTGTGTTTGTATCTGTATGTTGTCAGTATGTATGTATCTGTGTGTTTGACAGTGTGTATACCTGTGCATGTATCTGTGTGTCAATGTGTATATCTGTGTATCTGTATGTAGCCAATGTGTGTATCTGCATGTGTGTCAGTGTTTGTTTCTGCATTTGTCAGGTTATGTATCTGTGTATCTGTATGTTGTCAGTGTGTGTATCTGTCTTGTCAGTGTATCTGCATGTGTGTCAGTGTGTGCATTTGTGTGTCTGCATGTGCGTCAGGCTGTGCGTCTGTATGTGTGTGTGTCCGTGTGTGTAAATGTGTCTGTATAGCTGCATCTGTATCTATTGTGTATATCTGTGTGTGTGTGTATCTGTGTGTGTATGTGTATCACAGTGTGTGTGTGTGTGTGTGTTTGTGGCAGTGCATGTGTATATATGCATACATCTCAGCATTCAAACACCAATAGTTAATACTAACACACACACTCTAACACTAACACACACACACACACTCTCTAACACTCTAATACTAACACACACACACTCATAGGCGTGCGCACGGGGTGTGCCGGGTGTGCCCGGGCACACCCTAAACCCCGCGGCACGCCTATGGATTGATTCCTGCAGGAACAGCGTTCCTGCACTTTTTTTTGAGCAGAACACTGTTCCTGCAGGCACTCAGCGCCCCCAAATGCCCCCCTTCCTCCCACCGTGTTGCCCCTGTCATGGGGGGGGCAAGAGGTGATGGATCTTCCCCCTCTCTCCATCTCAGCCACGGCGAGGGAGCTGTGTGCTCTCTGCTTCCTCTCGCCGCGCGCCGTTTGCTGATGCCGGGAGCCGGAATATGACGTCATATTCCTGCTCCCAGCTACTGTAGACAGCCTGCGCGGCGAGAGGAAGCAGAGAGCACACAGCTCCCTTGCTGTGGCTGAGATGGAGACAGGCGCCCGCCCCACTGGACCCCAGGGACAAGTCCACGCCAGCGCTCCAGGTAGGGAGGCTGGGTGGACATTTTTTTTACTAAAAAATAATAATTTGTATGTGTGTGTGTGTCTGTGAATGTGTGTGTATGTGTGTCTGTGAGTGTGTGTGTGTCTGTGAATGTGTGTGTGTGTCTATATGTGTGTATGTGTGTGTGTGTGTCTCTGTATCTGTGTATGTGTGTGTGTCTGTGAATGTGTGTGTATGTGTGTGTGTGAGTGTGTGTGTGTCTGTGAATGTGTGTGTCTGTATGTGTGTATGTGTCTCTGTATGTGTGTATGTGTGTGTCTGTGAATGTGTGTATGTCTGTGAATGTGTGTGTCTGTGAATGTATGAGTGTGTGTCTGTGAGTGTATGTGTGTGTGTGTGTGTCTGTCAATGTGTCTGTGAGTCTGTGTGTGTGTGTGTGTACGCATATATATATACACACACCCACAGCAGCATGGAGGGAGGCAGGAGAGGACCGAGGGAGCTCTAGACAGCAGCTCCGCCAGGTTCCTCTCGCGATATCTGAGCGTTGCTGCGACTAGAGTTCACTCTCCACTGGACCACCAGGGATGGCACATGGCAGCAAGGATCCCCCCTCCCTACATAAGGTCAGAAGGGAGGGGGGATATTTACTAATCTGCCCCCACCTCCACAATCCCTCCAAACATACAGCACACATACAGCACCCACAGCACCTACACACATACAGCTCACACACAGCACGCTCACACACACACAGTACACTAACCGCACCCTCACAAACACACACAGCACCTTTAAAAAAAACACAACACCCTCACACACAGCACACTAACAGCACCCTCACAAACACACACACACACACACACAAACAGCACCCTCACAAATACACAACACTCACACAAACAGCACCCTCACACACACAGCACACTCACAGGACAAACACACACACACAAACACCCTCACACACAAACAGCACCGTCACAAACACACACACACAAACACCCTCACCCACACATCACACTAACAGCACCCTCACACAAACATCACACTAACAGCACACACAGCACCCTCACACAGCACACTAACAGCACACACAGCAGTGTATGTATGTATGTGTGTGTATATATATGTGTGTGTTATTATTATATACACACACACTCACATATACATGCGGCGTGTGTTTGTGCTTTAGGGTGCACACCCTAATGCAATAGGCTGCGCATGCCTATACACACACTCACACTCTAATACTAACACACACACGATTTAAAAAAAAAAATTATTATCCCCCAGCCTCCCTACCTTTGGGAGTGCTGAGGGGATTCCCTGGGGTCCAGAGGTGTTGCTGGGCGGCCGGTCACTGGGCTGGCTGGCGGGCGCGCGAGGGAGCACTCTTCCCTGACTGCTCTCTGTTCAGCTCCCTCGCGCGCCGTGTACTGATGCCAGAGCCAGAATTACATCATATTCCAGCTCCGGCATCAGTGCGGTGTGCGAGGGAGCTGGGCAGAGAGCGCTCAGGGTAGAGTGCTC